TGCGATAAATTGTTTTACCAAAAACCACTTTGTTTTGGAAAGCAGGTATTTTGTAAAAACTCAAAATTTTGACTAGTCCTTCGATAATTGCCTGTATTATTATATGAATTAATAATTTTTTTGATTTTTGAAATTAAATTATTAAATGTGCATTAATATTTTTTTAATTATAAAACAAAAGGGCGCCTATAAAAATTTTTTCGCAAAAAGCGTTTTTTACTTGCAATTGGATATGAACCGTTAAATAGTTTTCATTTTGTTTAAGTAAAAATTAAAATAAAACGCGAGCGTCTGTCAGCTGAGCAACTCAATTTCAATATAAAACCAAAACTTTTAACAAAACTTGGTTTAAGAAATTTTCTCCAAAAAAAATATGTAAAATACCTTTAAAGTTAATAAATAATTTTTATTGCTGTTTCTGTCGCAGATCAGCATCCATCTAATATAATATTATATCATTAGATTTTGCTGTTTTTGAATTGTAATGGCGATATTTCGCACACAATGTACTCACTCTCTGCTCTAGCAATATTCTTAATATTCTGCAAAAAAAAAAAAAATAAACCGTTATCCTGCTATAATCCGCACACCTGAACGCAAATCTTGTTTATTTGAACCCTTCACATATATTTATTATTTGACTTACAGCAAATGGCACGCTGGGGAATCTCCCGAAGTAATATTGATTTGTTGGACTCAGTGCTTTACCACACACTAACAACACCAGCGCCGACGCTAAGTCTACGTCACCAAGCATTGATAGCGCTTGTAAATCAGTTTGCGCAAAAATAATTTGTTCTCGAACAAAAACATATACATATTCAACACACATAAAATATAAGCAACCTTTCCTGCCACACACCCCAGTCGTTCCATCGCATTGTACAGCGCTCCACAACTATTTCGCCATTCTTTTCACCAGCAGAGCAAATATTTTCCTTCGAATTGTTAACTTCTTACTCGTATTTGCTTGTGGGGCACAAGTCAAGCGCACGAAAAAGTGAATAAATTTTTACATGCCACATTCCAGCACACACACGCACAACTCGCTTCAATTGTTGCAACAACATATGCCGTCGGTGGCCACTGTTGACTTCATTTCCGCTTCAACGTGCACATCGAAGCCATCAAGCAACCGGATGCCAGCCATTCTGCTGGTTCGACGTCATCGACAGATGTGCAGCAAGTGCATCGAACACACCTTTACCTACCAGTTTGTAGCAGCATTGATGCCGAATACCCGCTGCCTGCTGCCTGTTGCCTGTTGTTGCCCGACTGTCTGTTTGACTGACTGCCCGGCTGAGTGGCAAGTGTAAGTTGGCTCTATCGTCCCCGGTGGATTTTGAATGTTGCGCATTCAACATTGAAAATTCTGCCAGCATTTCAGCAGATATTTTTATTTCACTGCCTCTTGAAAATACTGTGCATATAGCATGCGGGGTGTGTGGAGGCGACGAAGGTTATTCTGCGTCCTTTGTACAGCGACTTGACTGCGCCTCGGCTGTGTGCGGTTTGTTTATGCATTCGACTGTGTAAAATGGATTTACTTCTTGGCATGCACAATTTTTCTTCTTCAACACAAGTGCTGCACTCAATCGCACACTCGCCCATCCACTGCGCTCTCCTCTTTTGCGCATCCCTTGACTTGAGCTGCAAGCGGCGGACGCTAACCAATTTGCTCGCTGCTCCTCACTGTTCGGTGTTTTTCCAAATAAATTCACTTTTCTACCATTTTTACTTTCGGCTCCTGTCAATTTCTTTGCCATTTTCCAAATTCGGTTTCTGCTTTGCATTTGGGCAACTCACTTTGACTGTTTGTTGTGCAATTTTTTCCTAATTTTTTTTTTTTTTTTTTAGTTTAGTTTATGCTCTGCCTAAGCCTTGGCGTGCGCTATCAATGCTCAACAGTGTGCTTCGTGCTGCAAGTTTGTGCATTCAGCTATAAATTCATTTATGTGTGCATGTGTGCGTGTGCCTAATGGAGCTGTGTGTGTGTGTGTGTCATGTTTTGTGTGGTCAATCTTTATTTACTCCTGTCGGCCACTAAACAACAATTTGCACTTTTGAAAATCGTCTTTGGGGTCAATTTCTCCATTTGAGCTTCTGGCATTTTCTGTTGGTCTGTGGTTGCAATCGCTTTTGCACATAATTCGCTTTAGTCAGTGTTTATTTAAGCACTAGTTCTGTGTTTTTTTTTTTGTTGGTTTTTAGAATTTTGAATTTCGGTACGAGCTTTAATGGACCTTGTACTTCTATTTCTTCCTTAAAAAAAAAGGTATTTATGTCGATTAATAATTTGGCTAAAACCACGCCCATCTAATGTGTAACGGTCTAATTTCTGTTTTCAATAAAAAATAAAAGTCTTAATCATATTTTATATATTCTCAACTCTAAGTGACCCTCCGTTACCTTGAGTGAGTAAAAGTGTGCGCGTCTCTCAATCGTAAGATTCTAAAAATCGAGACCTCCAAGAATTGGTTACACAATTTTTTTATTTTATAATCCCGTTAAGAATTATTAAATGCTATTTTTATGGAACGAAAATCACTTGCTTGGCACAAACTACTCTCACCCTCTTTTGAGAGCCAATCCATTGAAGAGAGTTAGAAGCTGCCACGTTTATGAACGGTTATGTTCTTTCGATAAATCGTGCTGTTAGTCGAATATCTTCAAATATCGAATTATCTTGAAGGTATTTGGAAATATTTTTTTGGAAGTGTTTCACTTTAGTGGCATATACTTGTACTTGTATGTATTACATACATATACACTTAAAGAAACGAAAAAAGAAAAATTTTATTAAAAAAATATTGACTTCAATTTAATTTTTTTTTTTTTGCCAAACTCAAAAAAGATATAAATTACAACAGTGCGTTACCTTTTCTTAGCATTCATTTGACAGAGAAGCACAAAAGGCTTTGTTTCGTTTGCTTTGATTATAGTAACTCTGAAATTGCGATAGATATTTTCACTTATGATGTAGCGTATCACAATCTGGTCGCTAACATTTCTGTACCAATATACATGAAAAACTTTTTTTACTAGGCTAGCTGAAGTGTAAGTACCCGACACTCAGAGGAATGACATTTAAGCAGAACGAATAGCTCGATCAATCGATTTTAAATATTTCTTGCCATCACCAGTGCGGACCTAGAACAAATGACGGCAAAACAATTATTTCATAAACCTATTGAGAATAGCAATTCCTTAAATGAACGAAATTACATATTATATAGGGTTAGACTACAGTGCAAGCTCAGCAATATTTTTCTTACACTCCACAAAAAAATAATATATTAGCTTCATCAAGCCTGAGCTGCCACTTAATTTAGATTCTAATAAATTCAATCAAAATAACAACCTAATATATGCTCACCTTCACCGCAGAAAGAGACACTTACTTAAAACTAGACAAATTCGAATTGAGTCTGCCCACCCTCCCTCTTGTCTGGCATAACATATACTTATAAGAAATTTATTGCTACATTTCACAACAACACAAATACTGTTACAAATATATGAAACTTTCCTGTCATTTGCAATTTTGAGTTGTTGCCGCCTGCACACCTTCACCACCTCCATAGCATCCCTTAGGAGTTGCGTAGAAAATGTCTCGATATGGATTGTGGCAGCGCGCCGCATTTCGAGGTGAAAGTTTTTGAAATGTTGCTTTTTATCGTAATTTATTGTTTGACAAATATGCCAACGAAGGTGGTCGGCTGCGTGGCGGCAGACGTTCTCTGGGGAGAGCGCATTAGCGTTGTGTTTGACAAAAGTTGGCGTTCGCGACATTGTAATGCCGCAGCACAGTACCCCGATGGTGGATTTCAATAAGCCAATATTAATGCGCAGGTGTGTGGATAAATGTATGACCCTCACATAATTTTTTTATAATGCGTTAGCTATTATAGTATAATTTTATTATTATTTATTATATTAGTATACTTATTTATTACATTAAATTAAAAGAAATATATTTACGAACTAATTTAAAACGTTAGGAGGTTTTTTATAAAATATTATATTTATAATATGGCATTAATTATTTAAAAGTTAGTGACAGAAAATTAATGTGTATCACGGGGTTATATCCGCTCGGAAATAAAAAAAACGCGTTTCTTGTGATTTTTTATATATTTTTTTTTTTATATGAAGAGTCACTATTATTTTATACAGGCAATGATCGGAAAACTAGTCAAAATTTTGATTTTTGACAAAATGGCGGTTTTCCAAAAATAGTCGTTTTTTGTGGAAAAATCTAGTCTTTTAGAGGCGCTTGTAAATACAAATGCCCAGCAAAAATCTTATTCCTTCGATCCCTACCTGAGAAATATATTCAGAAGGTCGAGTGAAAATTTCAAGTCGACTCTTACTCTGAAAACCGCGTTTCGAAAAAAACAAACTTTCAAGTTTGGGAGCTTATGTCTCCGAAGCTATTTACCGAATCTACGAATTCGAAGAATATTCTTTAATATATGCATGTATATGCTATGTATATATGTATATGCTAAGCAAATCGTCGATGTTTTGAATTTCACAAGAACCCCTTAATACCAAACGTTAAAAAAAATAGATTGAAAATATGTTTACAAAACAGATAACGCAAAAATTGTCAAAATAGTAAAAAGCAGTGAATTTAACGTTAGTATTTGAGCCGCTGAAAGTATATATTTTTATATAGTTTACTGTATAGAAAGTTTGTTTAACAAATGTTGGGGACCTCAAAGCTGTACTCGTGTCATTAAATAATTATAATAATAAAAACTATTTCTACAAAATATTTTACATAAAAAAAAATGTATAAATTATTTAATATCAATATAAGTATATGCTATACCTGTTTTAACTTTGAATATTTTTTTTATTTTCTTATCAACACACAAACATTACATATATTGCACACTTTTCCAATAAAAAAAAAGTATCACTACATGTCAATTTCAATTAAAGTTTTTCACTCAATAATCTCTACTTTTTTTTTTTAATTTCACTCCCAACAGGTGTTTATGGAGATGTGCAACGTGTGAAAATCTTATACAACAAAAAAGACTCAGCTCTCATACAAATGGCCGAACCACAACAAGCCTATTTGGGTAAGTATCACAGCGCCGTTTGGGTCCAACAAGTGACCCACTGCTTTTTTACTCCACCTATAACCGTATTCGTTGTCAGACTTTTCTTTTGTCAACCCAACACTTTATCCATTATAAATCGCCATTGATATTTGTTGCATAACAAAACCAGAAGGATGGCAGCCACTAGCTGTCGCCAACAAATTGCAATTCATAAATGATATTTACCTTTTAATAAATACAAATGGCAAACGTAGCCGCTCTTCCGCCGATATGCCGCCCAGTAAGGCGATTGGCTAGCGTGGAGCTGGCGAGGATTCACAGAAATAATTGAAATTTTCATAAGCTTAATTATCTGCATCGCCAAGTGCCCCAAACCCAACAAAATGCCTTCGTGCACGCAGAATGAATGACAAAACAACACCAACAAGCAAAGGCGGCGCCGAGCAAAGGGCAGCAAAGGAGCATAGCGTCCAATGTCCAATCGAGCAGCCAGAGTTTGGCACACGCTGTGCGCTCCACAATGGCAGTGACACAATGGTCGCACACATAGTGGCGCAATAAACGTCATGGCCAGCAAGAAATCGCAATCATTTCATAAATAAATATTTTCAGCAGCCAGCAAGCAAAGGCACCCTGCCGTGTAACACCTGCTGCTCTGCTCTATTGCAACCGGTGGAGTATTCTTCTCGTTTATTGGCATTAACTGTTATTGGTCTCCGAATGCCAAGCTTTATACAGTGTTTATTGGCGTTCGCCTTGGCCTGTGAGATTCTTTACAGTTTCCCAAATATGCACAGTTATAAAGAAAAAATGATTTTACTGCCAAACTGAGAGAAAAATTGGCTTGCTTTATTTTTATTTTATTTTTAAGAATTTCTTAATTAAAAGTACATTTTTTTCTTGTAACAGTGCATTAAAATATTTCTCTTTACTTTTTAAACGAATATGGAATTTATTCATTATCATTTTGCTCAGCCCTCATCGGCTCTCTGTATCGTTGTGTAATTAAATATTTGATTGCGAAAGCATAACTAGGCATTTCATAAACATTCCCGCCGATAAGATCAGCACCCAACATCCTATCACCCCCCCGCACGTAGGTGCAACTGTCGTCCGTCTTTTTTTTTACCTTTTAGCGAATCATTTACGCTTATCCACCCACAGCCCTTAATCTCCCCTCGCCACTAGTTGGTCGCAATGGCATTTACAATGCCGCAAAATATTAATAAACATAGCGATGTATAGGGTGGGTAGGTGCCGACCGCGCGTCGAAACGGTCACAGGAGCATAACAACAACCATAGCCTCAATAGGAAAAACAAACATTGTTGCTTTTGTTGTGTGTGTGTGTATTGTGCGGAGGTGGGGTAAAAGCAATAAATGGAAACTGCTGCGGCCTGCGGTTGCATTCGATATTAAAAGCATTTTTGTTCGATTTCCGGTGCTTGGCAGTCACGCTTTACCCATCCACCATCGCCCTCAGACACATACACACACATACGCACATGTATACTAGCAGAAAAATACATTTCCTCATGCTGCTTATCTCTACCAGCTATTTTATTGTCGCCGGGCACACACTTGTGCGCCGGAACCATTCACCAGTTTGGTGTAGTGGTAGCAAATGCTCAGGTAGAAGAGGAAAAGTGGTGGGCAGCCCGCTGTTGTGTAACACACACCCTACGCTACTCTCTTTCGCAGACATGCATACACAGTTATGCCACTTTTATACACAAACATCCCCCTTCCCCCTTTTACACGGCTTTTGTCCACCAACATAAGCGGGCTTTCGCGGCACCTGCACGCCTTATCCACCTGGCGATTGTTATTTAATTAATAAATTTCGGAATTTTAAATATTTCTGCAATGCATGCAGTTGAGTACACACACAACAATATATGTATGTATGAGTACATGCTTATGTGCATATTATGTGCAGCAGCGCCGAAACGCTCGCAAAGTAAGCTGCTGGAAATCCGCTCTTTTTGTGGCATTTGCGAGTATTCTTTGTAATGTAAAAGCGAAAAGAAGCGCTGAAATACGTTCACATGATTTATGTACCACTTACTTATCATATATTTACAATATATACATATATATGAGCTTTAGTGAAGAGCAGCGCCTAGTTATGGGCCTTACATACTTGTATGCTATATTAATTTAATAATAGTAAATTGAAATATTTCATATGTAAGCTATTTCAATATTTTACAATAATTACATTCGATGCTAAAAATACTTGCAGGGATTCTCTGCTGCAATTTTAATTAATTAGCATTCTGAATGTAACATATAAATTTATATTTTTAGATTTGATGAGTAAATTGCATATAACTGAACCCAGGAATATTGCATTTATTTGGTTTAATAAAATTTCTGTAACTAAGCAAAGCACACCAAATGGCAGCTGTGTTGATAAACTCTTACAAATTTAGAAATATGAGGGTATATTATGGTTAGTTCAATACGTAAATAGATAACGGAAAAAGATAGCGCGGAGATAAGATCATAAACAACATTTTTATCAGCACAATCTCAAGTATTGATATTAAAAATAGATAGTTGCGTTTTACAAACAAATTTATTTGCGTACAGTATTTTTTATAATGTAAGCAAATTTTCAAATAACAAAGCTCTTTGAGAAAAAAGTACCAAATTTTGCTAACGCATGTGCCAAATTTTATTAGAAACCAAGTTTCAAAATGGTAATAGTTTTTTTGATAGTTTCGTATCGAACAAACAACGAGCATTAATAAAATAGCAAGCGAAAAGTATATCATAATAACGCGCGACGACATTGTTGTTACTCTGGCGCGTAAATTTGTGCGCAGAACTCAAACATGTGGCGAATCGTAAATGACCAACACTTACGGGCAAATATTATACTAAAGTAAACTCTTGCCCTGCATTATCTTACCTCCCATTTTAGGACTCTTAAATATACCTACTTCTCTCTACACCAAACATATTTTTATATTCTGCTAATGATTTTAAGTTGTGAAAAAATTAGACGTGTCATATACATATGTAGATAAATGCATAAAAAGTACAAGCTCGTTTTCCATTTAAATAACTCGGACAACTTTTTTGCCTCTGCATTGAATTCGTACTGTAACTTGCCCAAAAAAGATAAAATCCATTTTTATAAAAATTAATTTATCGTTAAGCTCGTGCACAAAGAATGGTGACAAATTTACAATAAACCAAAAAAAGATAATGCAAGAAGATGCCACCTGTTTTAAGTAAAATAAAGTAAATATTAACTTTGAAAAATATACAAAAATTTATCGGGTTCATTGGAATTGATTAAAATTACTTGAGAATATTGAAAAAAAAGTATAAACTTTTTCTAAGCTTTATTGACAAATCTAATTCAATACCAATATTTAAAATTAGTTAAATATTAACTTCGAAAAATATACAAGAATTTATCGGGTTCATTGGAATTGATTAAAATAAAATTACTTGAGAATATTGAATAAAAATTATTTATCGTCAAATTTCATTCAATACTTATATTTAAAAATACAACAATATTTAAAAAAAAATTAATAAGCTATTTGCCGGAACAACGTCAAATTTTCGGAGAAATTTTTCACATATATCTATGTAAATTCAATACACAATATGCCAAAAAAAATTTATTTGTTGAAATTCACAAATGAATATAACACCGTAAGCAAACGAGTCTACTGAGATGAGTAGTTTAATTGTTAACGCTTTCTAAGCAATAAAAAATATACAATACAATTACACAAACGTTTTAAGAATGCATAAAATCTATTGAAGTAATAAATACACGAGTATATAGGCGCCTGAAATATGGTGGTGCGCTACTTAAAGTCTGTGCCACCGCTTAACCGCCGCCAATCTCAATTTCGCGTTCAGTCAACTCGCCTCAATGGTTGGTTTAACATTTGCCCGCAACGAAAGGCGTGAATGCAAGCCGCCACCTAACGCTATATATACTTGTAACGAATGCACTTGTAAATGACGCTGGTTGCGCGACTGGCGTTGCCAGAAATTAAGAATACACTATTTAATGGTGGCTACAGCAACTAGCAAGCGTTTTTCGGGTTGTAAAAATTATTGCGTGATATTTTATTTGCCGAAATAGTAAATTAGGCTCACAGTATTTTAACTGTTTTTCAAATAAATTGTACTTTTCTGTCAAAAAATGCCGCTAATAATTTGTTTTTTTCTAAGTCTGGCAACACCGTACACGGCACACATGTGCCACGCGTTCATGCAACATTGCTCTATTTTCCTTTTGCGACTAATAACAGTCAATTTGGTTGTTTGCGCAGCGGTTTTGTGTTTATTCCATACAAGCACACACATACAGACACACTCATGCGCATGTATGCATACTTGTAGCTTGACGCAGCCAACAGCATTTTGTGGCATTACACAGTGGCCATTGTTTCTGTTCATTGCTAACACTTTGTTGTCGTCACATGTTTTTGTTGCACTCAAACAACACTGTAACGCACTCAACCGGTTGCGTCAATGTATGCGTGTGTGTGTGTGTTGGTGTGCAAGTGTATTTGTGTTGAACATTAATCGCTCGCGTTTTAAAATTACATTTTCGCCTAATCTAAAATGCATGAAATTTTCCGTTGGCTGGTCACCAAAACAAGCAACGCCCTCGCACCCACACACACGCACACACATATGTGAACGCACACTAATACCAGGCTCATATTTGTTTGCTGTAAGTGCTGGTTGCTCTTTTTCGAGTCAGCGCCTGCGACTATTGTGCTGCATTTTAGCCATTTGCCGTTAGTCGAGCGCTGTATTGTTGTAGTTGTTGGTCGGTCGGTCGGTCGGTGGACAGCGCTGTCACTTGTCGTTTCCGGCGTTTTGGTGCCGTCGGTGCGTCGGTGTGGGTTGACTGCTGCTGGCATTGGCATGTCCGCCTCTCGGTTAGTTGGTTGCTCGCTTGGTTAGCCTTCCTGTTGCTTGCAGCACTTGCTGTTGGGGTCACCGGCTATTACATTTACTCTATATGCGCTCAAC